AAAAATACGACATTGGCCGCACAAATCAGTCGTCCTTTAAAGTATTCGGCATGGTTACTCACGCGATTCAAAAACGTACCTTTTTTGTTGATAAATTTACATCACAATACAATGAATGAATTTGTATTAACATAACAGATCGCCTTTTTAGGTCGCTTTAATAAACTGAGGACAGACGGACTGACACAAAAACGTGCATTTTTTACCTAGTTCAATCTTGGTTTTCAGTCGATGTCGGTAATAATTCCGAATTTCCGACCACTGCAATTTATAGTTAAAACTACATAATCTAGTGCTTGTCATAGTTACTCTAACCGTGGTTTTAAAATCTAACGCATTTTTAAAGTATCGAAATATGTATAACTAGCTTTTCGCCCGCGGCTCCGTCCGCATGAAATTAAAAAAAAAAGTAACTAGCCTATGTGTCATTCCAGACTATCCTCTACATCAATATCAAATTTCCTCCAATCCAATCAACTTTTAAGCAACAAACTCGTATCAAACATCCATCCATCTAAACTTTCGCATACATATAGTAAGTACATAACACGGAGATATCATCCTGGATATCGCCATTCAACTGTTTCCTATAAATTACACAAATAATAATTAACAGTGACGCAATGAACGGACGTCGCAACGTCGTAAAAACGAAAATTATCAGTTAGTAAAACATACGTTCTGCCTATATTATTTCGTTAATCTATACCCGCATGGGTTATGGGTTTGTGGTACAATATAATGCATGGCTGTCGAAGGACCATAACATTTTCACTCTCGTCCGTCGCTTGTTCTATTGTAAATTGTCAGTAAAACCATAATAAACCTCAAGGTTGTTCAGTAGTGGGGGAACTGATGCATTTTGCACCTTCAGTTGTCAACATTTGAAGATACGACAGTGTTCTCTTTAATGTAAATAAAATGTGGTGACTGAAGTTGATGTTTTAAAAAATGAATCTACGTAGTGTTGGTATGGTTTGTACGGAATGTGTATTTGAACAGGTGTAATGTACAATACGACAGAATACATTTATTTCAGTTATCGTGTTCTGGGTCAGTTTTAAAGGACGTGCGACTGTACCCATGGAATCGCTGGTTTTTAGTGTATTCGAATAAAATGAGTAAATAGTGTATTTAATTCTTAACATGTATGGTTAATTGGTGATAAATTATTGTATTGTGATCTTCTTGATGTGTTTGTAACGATTATAATATGACTAATTATTTTGGAATTTTGACAATTTTATTTACATTTGGACTGATACGAAGTAAGTATTTTTTTACTCTTTAAATAGATTGTAAGTCTTAGAATTACATTTATTCTTTTTAATTTATAGGCGAAAACTATTACGTAATTAAATACGTTTAGTTAATTTTATTAGTTCACGATTGTCTCGTGTACAGGAGTAAATATATATTTAAAAGTTTAAATAAAACTTATGTTAAAATCTATGCATAGAATAAATTCATTTTTCTGCAAGCCTTCGGTTGCCAACCCCTGTATTTGAGTCAGGTGATACCTTTAGCCGCAGACGTAGTAATTCTAGCGTATCATAGTATAACACCTCGTTTACTTATTTGTTGCTTATTGCCTGATTTTTATGTAAAAATAAAAAAGGAAGTTTTGTATCGTGATATTGTGTTGATAAATAGTAAAGAAAAATCCTTGATGGCATCGCGTTTGCGGTTTGTAACCACTGCTTCGACATCACTAGACTACCCAGCTTTAAGACCTTCGATCAGTAATATAATGAAACATCACATTTTGGGACATATTAAAATTGATTACGTTTTAAAATTTAGATTATCAATAGCCAATCGCACTATCGAAATAACACACTAACGACGTGTTGTCAAGGAATAAAATAAAAAGTATAGTATGAGTTAGCAACAAAACTAAAAACTACAAAATTCTAGATTTAATCATGCATCAAGTATAAAATTAACACACCGAGTAATCAGTTGGCCCGCATTTGTCTGTGCTAAGTTGACGCTAAGTAAGTACATATATTTATATATTTCACTTACGTAATGTTAGTTTATTGTAGAAAACTTTGAAACTAGTAGAGGTTACAAATCTATTTTTATTATTGAATATAAAGAATACATCGATGTGGATTGAAGTGGACTGAAACGGATTGTGTGCGTGATATTATCTTAATTGATTAGCTTAAAATGCCGTTTAAAACCAATAAATCTTAATTAATACCAAATGGTAAACAGAATTAGTAAAAATCAAGAATCATCACTCGTTGTATTTCTCCTGCAATAACTTCCGAAACCGACTTTAACTCTGATTGTACTTGTTGGACATCTCACGTACTCTGAACCTGGCAACACTCCCGCCTGTACGAACATTAATGAATACGCTAGTATTACTAAAAATACTAGCATGTAAACACGAATGTTAGCGATCTGAAAAAGAATAAAACAATTGAAACACGAATTCAAATAAAAATAAAATTTACTTTTACACTTAACCTAAAATTAGTTTTAACAATTATTCCTTTATAGTCGTTGCCGTTTAACAAAACAGTTAATAGCAGTAGAAGCAGTATTCCGTTTTAAATTAAGATGCAACATTTGTAAATAACAAAGAATTTTGCACTAAAACGCTAAAATTTGCGATATTTTCCAATTTTTTTTTCACTGTATTCTAACACCAACAATCCGTGTTATATCATTAGGAGCAGTATCATTTACTTACCATTTTATCTTTTCCGAAATAGTTTAATATTAAAGTGCCAAATACAGACCACCATTAACTTTGTAAGGCTCTTCGAAACTGAATGTCATATGTAAACACATCCGACGTAAACAAGCAAAACCAGTTTCCGTACGTGACGAGTAGCTTGATTAATTTATCATATCCTCGAAACTTGACCCCGATCTTTGCCAAAGCTTGTTGTGAATATGATATGAAGGTTCAATAGAGTACCGAATTAACAGCCATGGGTTCGATTTCCGTCTCTTGTAGTTCTTATCTTTACTAATATTATAAAGAGGAAAACTTTGTTTGATTGATGTTAATGGATAGGCTCAAAAACTACTGAGCCGATTTTAAAAATCCTTTCATCGTTAAAAAGGTAATTTATCTGTGAGTAACATAGGCTATATTTTAATTTATTTACTATTACTTTTAAATTTCAAGCGAATGGAGTCACAGGCAAAAGCTAGTTGTTTATAAAATGTTAGCAACAGTCCTATTGTAAATTACGATCTACGAATATTTTAGCTTTAAGATCTTGCTTTCCTTTATATATATATCAAAAGATGTATCAATATGCAATCAAAACTAATTTTAGGCAGCATTTCACAATGCAAGAACGGCGAGAAGTTATCAT